CTGGTTTAAACACTGCTCAAAGAAACCGTGATTTTGCCGATGTGTTTATCGGTGGATTACAAAAGTCGTAATAATCTACAAATGGAGGGAGACCGATCTGATCGGACAACTGTGACAAATAAATTCCAAACTGAAAACCGGCATGGAACAAATGAATATGTTTTAAAATGCGCTTATCCCAGAAAAGCCTGGTTTGGACCAGCCTTTACGGGCAGAAGAAAACCTTTCCATTAAAGAAAGAATTATACATTCCCTAATCTTTTTATGCCGCTACTTAATTGAATTTTATTAAAAACGATCAATTATTTTTAGATTGCTATGTAATGTAGAGACAAGGCGTTGTAGTGAAATCATGTAGCCCTATTGCGTTACAATATGGTAAAGGGGGCCACCCAGGTTGGGGAACACTACAATAGGTGAAGTAGTAGGGCTAACAACAATCTTCCAATACCCTCCTTCCCCGGCCCCTTGGTAATCACAATACTTGTTCTACCCCTTCAAACATTATTTCAAACTCCAATACTGTCAAACGGTAAAATTAGGTATTTACAAGACTTTCACACAAAAATGGTCCACTAGCCTCCACCTCTGTCGTCTGACATCAGCCGTGACTGATCTAGCTTTTCCACAGGCTCAGATGTAAAAAACCAGTCCTTCGTGTGGCTCGGGGACAATGTGCTCATTACTCGTTTTCCAGCATACTATAACTATGTCTCACAACATTTCCACCGATTCACTCACACTTGCACATCCTGCATTTTCTATCACGTTCTCCTGTTCTCAGTCTGATCGGAACACTTTATCTAATCCTCTGTTTGGACTAATTTTCAATTACGTTTTTTATTTCTTCGCAGATGAGGTGCCGGAGATCATCCCATTCAACTGATGGTAAAGAGGTTCAGCCTGAAACGAAGAAGAAATTATAGGTAACGTCTGTCACCAAACCATGCTGAATTCGAGTCATATTTTCAATTATGTAGTCCAACCTAGGTGGAGAAATCTCTGTAGACTTTGGATGCAAGGACCATGTAATTCCATCTGTGCCTNGATCAGATCGGTCTCCTCCATTTTGTAGATTATTTACGACTTTTGAATCCACATAAACACATCGGCAAAATCCGGTTTACGTTTAAAACACATGCTCAAAGTAAACCGGATTTTGCCGATGTGTTTATGTGGATTCAAAAGTCGTAAATAATCTACAAAATGGAGGAGACCGATCTGATCGGAGCAACTGTGACAAATAATCCAACTGAAACCGGCATGGACAATGACTATGTTTTAAAAATGCGCTTATCCAGAAAAGCCTGGTTTGGACGCTTTACGGGCAGAAGAAACATTTCCATTAAAGAAAGAATTATACATTTCTATCTTTTTATGCCGCTACTAACTTGAATTTTTATTAAAAACTGATCAATTATTTTTTAGATTGTATTGTAATGTAGAGACAAGGCTTTTAGTGAAAATCATGTAGCCTATTGCGTTACAATATGTAAAGGGGGGCCACCCAGGTTGGGAACCACTACAATAGGTGAAGTAGTAGGCTACAACATCTTCCAATACCCTCTTCCGGCCCTTGGTAATCACAATACTTTGTTCTACCCCTTCAAACATTTTCAAACTCCAATACTGTAAAACGGTAAATTAGGATCATTTACAGACTTCACACAAAAAATTGGTCACTAGCCTCCAGCCTCTGTCGTCCTGACATCAGCCGTGACTGATCTAGCTTTTCCACAGGCTCAGATGTAAAAAACAGTCCTTCGTGTGGCTCGGTGACATATGTGCTCATTACTCTGTATTTCCAGCATACTATACCTATGCTCTCACAACATTTCCACCGATTCACTCACACTTGCACATCCTGCATTTTCTATCACGTTCTCCTGTTTCTCAGTCTGATCGGACACTTATCTAATCCCTCTGTTTGGCTAATTTTCATTACGTTTTTTATTTCTTCTGCAGATGAGGTGCCGGAGAATCTTCCATTCCCTGATGGTAAAGAGGTCAGCCCTGAAATCGAAGAAGAAATTATAGGTAACGTCTGTCACTCAAACATGCTTGAAATTCGAGTCATATTTTCAATTATGTAGTCAACTAGTGAGAAATCTCTGTAGACTTTGTGATGCAGACACAATGTAATTCCATCTGTGCCTTTATGCTGGCAGCAGATGAGAAATCCTGCGCAATTCAACACATGGGAATAACATAACAGTGAGTCTGTGAGCTAACCTGCCCTACTTTTCAAACAGGAGTGGGTAGATTTGCTTGGTTCCAAAGAGTCAACAAAATGTTCCTTAGTTTTGATGTGGAGTTTAAAAAAAAAAAGAAAAAAAGAGCCTTGTCATCAGATCACCACTTTGTTATAATTCCTGTAAATGTAAATTAAAGATTTAACAACTTAATTACATCGTAGGCGTCACAGTGGCATCCAAATTGAGAACAGTTGTTGTGGGTGAATAAATCAGGGCTGGACTAACCTGTAAAACTTTATGAAAGCACGTCATCTTATAAAGTATCACTTAATAGCATTGTCTGAACGAGTTGTCTGACTTTATGTTTGCTTTATCTACGCAGAGGAGCCCACAGCCACTCCTCCCGATGAGGGGACATGGTATGATGATTACGACGAATACGGAAATAGTATGTGCACACACACACACACACACACACACACACACACACACACACACACACACACACACACACACACACACACACACACACACACACACACACACTGAAACATATCCAAACTGTTTTATATTAGATCCATTAGTTAAGCTGCAGTGACTCTTCCTGCCAACCAAGCAGAGAGCAAGGAGAGCAAAGCGATAAATAACAGTCAGGTCATAACTTTCCAGACTTTTAATTGATCTTTTGTGACATTTGTACTGCATTTTGTTCCTAATAGCTTATAAAAACACAGAAAGACTTGCATACACACTGCTGTACAGGGCACAAGTGTATATATAGGTATTTCTATAAAATGATCCTTAATTCTCCACAGGCAGGAAAGGAGCAGAGACTGATGACAAATGGATGGAGAAGGAGAAAGAAAGAGCGGCAAAAGAAAGAGCAAGGGAAGAGAAAGGTAAGATACTACTCTCTTTTAGATAACACATTTTGTACAATCTTGTCCGAAGACACAGATATTGGAGTTGCCAAATCAAAGAACATGGCCTGTGACCTCAGTGCAAAAGTACTAACAGATAACAGAAGGTGTTGCCTCATTTATATCAAATGTCTGTTTTAAGAAAACAGCAGATGTGACTTTCTACCATGTTAATGTCAGCAAGCCTTTGGTACTTGCTTTAACTTGTGAACAAAAGTTCAACCCTTCCATAACAAAATGGAGATTATTCAATGTTATTTCAGAAAGCTCTTGAGATGCACTGAAGCCAAGGGAGTGAGAGGGGAGGTCAACTGACTGTGGTCTGAATGCAGTAGATTAGTGTGAGTGATAAAGAAAAAGGCAACAAGGGAGAATTAGCAGGCAGACAATGTCGCAATGTAGAGACTTAAAGTATCAGCTCTTTTTTCGCCACGTGTCTGCTGTGTGTAGCGGGATTAGCTGGTGGTTAAGGAGAGTCTGGAGACGAGGATATATAACTCCACCAAGACCGGTGTCAATAGGTCACTTCCTGTGTGGATGGTTCACTGCTATCTGGGTTTAAGGTGAAAAGCATTTTGGCTTGAAAAAGATCAGACGTTTTTGGGGCTTGAAACAATGATCTGTAACAAAGAGGCTCAAAAGCAGATGTGTTCCTGCATCTATACACATCAGTGTGTGAATGGGTTTGTCCACTTGTGTGTGCATGGTAGGTGAGTTAACGTACAGCTGTCAGTAAGACTTCTGGCTGCCATACTACCAGCAATAAACTGGTATTATGTCATATATTATGTTATAATATTATGTCAGTTCAGTGTGTAAAAATCTGACTTAAGATAATGATGGATGGGATTCAGCAGTGTTTCTCTTTAGTAGGGTCAGGATGTTCTGAGTTTGATCAGCACTTGGAAGAGAGATCATAACATCTGTTTTTTTTTTACTACACTTTTTTTTGGCATTTCCATTTGAAAAGAATTCACATGAGTTCCTAGATCATTTCTGGGAAGAGAGAGAGAACATATTCAGCCAAGACAATTTGATTTGCAATAAGACCTTTTTTTTTCTGATTTCTGCCAGAGAGAGCGGAGAAACTGAAGGAGGCCGAGGAGCGAGCCAGGAACAGACCCCGCGTCTTCAAAGAGCCAAAGAGTACGTTTGTTCAGATCTGGAAGGCATTGCTTAAGCTTCTGCAGATAACATTAACATATCATTAAACATTGTATTGGCAGAGTGCCCTCCCCTGGGGATGGAGTCCCACAGGGTCGAGTCGGACCAGCTCACAGCCTCCTCCATGTCTCAGTATATCTTTGCACCTCAGAGGGCGCGACTCAACATGCAGGTAAACCATCAGAGGGGGCTGCTGTGGTGTGAACGCTTTCAGGCAGCTATCACTTACATACTGCCAAGCTTTAATATAAACACCAGCTACCAGAGGAACCATGTCGGAAAATATAAATTACGGCTGAGTCTGTTACATCCATTATCTGCTATGAGTGAATATGGCCATAATCTATAGTCTAAATAATCTTTTTAGCAGCTAAATTATTGGATCAGCTGATGAATTATTGCAGTTTTTTTAGTCATCAGTGCATCTGTGAGGTATGAATTAAATATAATTGCATGTCAGTGCGCGATAAGTTAATATTTGGGCTCCAAATGTGACCAAGTCAAAGCACCCTGCAGCACGTGTTGTGGTCTCTGTGGTTCCCAGGGCTCAGATGATGAAGACGACATGAGAGGAGGAGCGTGGTGTGCAAACCAGGAGGATAAGATCCACTGGTTTGAGATTGATGCTCGCAGAGAGACGGAGTTCACGGGAGTCATAACCCAAGGACGAGACTCTATGAACGCGTAAGACAATAACACACAGACTAGGTATTTTCTATTTCTGAATTGAACATGTTGCTAACACATTGCCTCATTCCAGGAGTGACTACGTGTTGTCCTACTTCCTGGCTTTCAGCAATGACAGCAGAGAGTGGACCACCATCCATGATGGGTACACTGACTGGGTTAGTTCACCTTAATGTACTATATGGCCCCTCCTTTTGGCATTATGTATGATTTGCCTTCTCTTTTCCTGACTCACCTTTCTCCCTCTCCCCAAGTTGTTTTTTGGAAACAGTGATAAAGACACTCCGGTGATGAATCAGCTGGCAGAGCCTGTGCTGGCTCGCTACATCAGAATCATCCCTCAGAGCTGGAACGGCTCCCTCTGCATGAGGCTGGAGGTCCTCGGCTGCCCACGGCCCGGTGAGCCTCCAACACTTTAAAAACAATCTTCACAAGCAAATTGTAAATCAGTATATATACATAGGAGCACATTCTCACCCTGTGTTACCGATAATTATTCAAGACGTTGTTTCATACATACCCAAACGGTGAATGAAGAATCAAACACAGTACAACGTTTTGGTGAATTAAAGTAAATGAGGGCAGCATTTGAAGACATTAACATTTTATCCTTTCACAAACTCTCATACAACTCGTGCAGCATAATCCAAGTCTCATTTAACCAGTCGTATATTCACTTCTTCACAAACACATGCATTTTCACTATAACGTTTCTATTCTATAAAAACACATCTGCATAAAAAGTATCCAAACAAGTGTGGATGAGTCCAAACTTGTTTAAATAGGAAGGTTTTATGCAAATAGGCAAGAGCCTACAGCTGATTAAATGAGACTTGGGTTATGTTACAGAAGTTGTGTGAGAGTTTGTGAATTGATGTTTCCATAAATGTTTGCGGCCTCTATGCAATTAAATTCATCTAGAGTTTTCCGATTGTTCATTTAACTAGGAGCGATGTGAGAAAAACTAAGTTTTCTTCACATATTTAATGTAACAAAGGGTGAGTAATTGATACACAAATTGACCTTTTCTGGATGAAGTGATCCTTTGACACACTTATTAATGCACGCACACTATAACTCACAACATTAAGGATGCATTTTATTTTTGTCTTGTTCCACAGATCCAGTGGATGTTCAGTACAGGCAGAATGAAGTGACTCCAGTGGATTACCTACAGTTCAGACATCACAGCTACTCAGAGATGGTTGAAGTGAGTATCCTCCACACGGCCCCCTGCACATCTGCTGGCTCATTGAACTCAACAGGAAATACCTCAGTTATTTCCCCAAAGACGAAAAACTAAATAATTTCCCTGAACATTTAAACTGTTTTAATCCACTTTAATATGAACTGATAATAAACCCTCACCCTAACCCCGCAGTGTGCTCATTCCTTCTCTGCTTGTTATTACAGCTGCCAGAGGGCAACATGACCTTTCCAAGGCAATGCTTATCATGAACAGCGCCCACACTTTTCCCAACCGTCATGAGTACTTTGTTGATTTTTAGGAGGATTTTTACGTGTAAATAATGTACAATACTTTGCACACTGACTGTTACCATCGTCTCATGTGGTCAGGTCATGAAGTCGGTGAATTCAGAGTGTCCCAACATCACCAGCGTCTACAGCCTGGGCCGCAGCTCCAAGGGACTCGATATCATGGCCATCATCATCTCCAGCAACCCCACAGAGCACGAAATAGGTGGGCATGTGTTCATATGACTAGGGATGCAAGATATACTGTATAATATCAGATAAAAGATCAGCTGATTTTCTAAGGCCAAATAGCTTTTATTCACTTAACCAGCTTGTGTCTATAGAGTTGGTTTGCAAACAGCCTATTAATAAGTGCAGACACTGACTGTAGATAGAGACAGAGAGCCAAACATGTGGTCGCACGTGTTGACGTTTCTCAAATGTTCAGACAAAGTAACCATGATTGCAATCTTTTTTTTTTTATGTTTTAAAAAATTACTTTTTTGTATTATGTGTTTGTAGTTTTAATACATATGATGACAAACCCTAAATTAGATTTGGTTAGGTCAAACTATGGAATAAGAAATTGTCGTTCTAATCTAAATCTACAGCCCTTGCCCTTCTACCTTCTGATGATCATAAACTACAGGTCTTGAACTTCTTTTTAAATAACTGGAAATGTTTGGGTATCTACTGGTATCGGCCACATAAGCAAGTAACAATCAGTTGTTGGCACTGGCCGGATAAAATCCATATTCTGCATCCCTATGATGATGTTAAATGCTGTTTGGTTGAACAACTGGGGCTCAATGGCACCACCAATGATTCCTATAAATCCAGATAAACACCAGGTGGAAGTCAGCAGATTACGGTTTAAGGAACCAACAACTACAGTCTTCTCCCATTGTCTCCACAGGTGAGCCAGAGCTGCGCTTCACGGCCGGTCTTCACGGAAACGAGGCAGTGGGCCGGGAGATGCTGCTGCTCCTCATGCAGTACCTGTGCAAAGAGTACAAAGACAGAAACCCCAGAGTGCAGCGTCTGGTGGAGGGAATACGCATCCACCTGGTGCCCTCGCTCAACCCCGACGGACACATGGAAGCTTTTGAAGCGGTCAGTGGTTATCATTGTTTAACATCATGTGTTTTTACTTTTCTGGCAAACAAAAGAGAGGCACAAACAGGAAATGCCAGAGAGTCATGTTCGTGGTCTTGGGTGACTTGGTTTCATGTGGCCTGTTTCTCCTCTGCAGGGATCAGAGCTGAGTGGATGGACCACGGGACATTTCACTGATGACGGCTTTGACATCTTCCAGAACTTCCCCGAACTTAATAGTATCCTGTGGGATGCTGATGATAAGGGACTTGTGCCAAAACTCACTCCCAATCACCACGTGCCCATACCCGACAACTACGAGACCAACAGCTCGGTATGGGATCATGTTTGTGTCTTAGTTACAACCAGCTTATTATAAAATCTGAGGACAAAAGACCTCCAGTTTAGGGTTGTTGTTTTATCACCACCAAATGCACTTCTTGTAACCTCTCCTCATATTTTTTTAATTGCCAGTGGATGTAAAATATACTCGTATTTTTAAAAAGGTGGTTGAGGTTTACTCTTTAAGCTAAACATAGTGTCTACTCTGCTTACATCGGTCTTCTTGTCTTTATTCCAGTTTGCTGTGGAAACCAAAGCGGTAATCTCCTGGATGAATAGCTATCCATTTGTGTTAGGTGCAAACTTCCAGGGTGGGGAGTCAATTGTAGCCTACCCTTATGACAGCTTACGTCTCAACAAGCCTGCAGAGAGCCAGAAACCCCACAGCCGCAAGAAGAGACAGTATGACTTTTCCTCACCCTTAACCAATGCCTTCTGACGTTTTCTTTCCTTCTTTGCACACATTTATGTCCTAAACTCTTTATTTGTCATGCTATCTCCTGCATATAACTCTTCATGAACATCTCACATTCACCATAAAGTTAAATAGTTCAACTAGAGTAATTTCTTACAGGTATGAAGAGGAAGGTTTTGATGGGACAGAGTGGGGAAGGGGCTACCACACAGAGCCGGAGGAAGACAGGGGATCAAGAGGACATTCAGAGCCAGAAGAGGAGGAGAGGGGATACGACCACAACCAAGGTTACGAACATGGCTACGATCAAAACCAAGGATATGACCGTGGGTATGAACACAACCAGGGATACGACCGTGGATACGACCGTGCATATGACCGTGGATATGACCGTGGATACGACCGAAACCAAGGATACGAACATGGCTACGACCAAAACCAAGGTTACGACCGAAACCAAGGTTACGACCAAAACCAAGGTTACGACCAAAACCAAGGTTACGAACAAAACCAAGGTTACGAACAAAACCAAGGTTATGAGAGAAGAGAGGAGGAAGAGGATGATCGTGGAAGAGGTGCCGGTAACCAGTACGGGGAGCCTGAAGATGAGCCTCGGATGATCCCAGACGAGTCCCTCTTCAGGTGGCTGGCTGTGTCCTACGCCTCCACTCACCTGACCATGACGCACAACTACCAGGGCTCCTGCCACGGAGACAACGCCGCGGGGACGCACGGCATCGTCAACCGGGCCAAATGGAAGCCAATCAAAGGAAGTAAGTAAATGCCAGCAGTAGAGGAGGAAATACTCAGATTTGTTTTGCCAAAGTTAAAGTAGCAATGACAGTGTAGACAAATCAATTTAAAGTCCTGTATTCAAAATATGGAAAGTACTAATTCTGCCCAATGGCCCATTTCAGAATAATACACATTATATTATTGGATCATAACTATTGCACTATATGTATGCATTACTTTATTTTTCCAAGTTGGTAAAGAGGGAGCTCATCTTTTAGAATTTAGCTTGGGATTATCTGACCTACAGTATACCTGATAAATTATGTTGATTATATTTTGTATTTTTAATGTGAATCTGCTTCTTAAAAGTAACTCATAAAATGTGTTGGAGTAATAAGTACAATATTTGCCTCTGATTTGCAGTGAAGTAGAAATGTAAGTAGCAGCAAATTAAGTTTAGTACAATTTTGGAATACTCTACTTAAGTTTCCTACTAAGTAAATGTAAGAGGTCAGTAGGTTTATCCAATGTTTTTTGCAAGTGTTTTAGCTATCTCCATGCATTTTTAACACACCCTGCTGGACAACATGTGCTGTGCAGGATCTGGTTTTCAGTTGGTGTGTGTGTTTTCACCTCTCTAGGTATGAATGATTTCAGCTACCTGCACACCAATTGCTTTGAGCTTTCTATATTCCTGGGATGTGATAAGTTCCCTCATCAGAATGAGTTGGTGTATGAGTGGGAGAAGAACAGAGAAGCAATGCTCATCTTCATGGAGCAGGTCAGTCCCACACTCTCACACCATCGTACTGACTTCCTGAATTAAGATTGTCCTCAACTAAAAGGTGTATGGTTTCCTTGACAGATCAACTTTATATTTGCATTACATCTCTCAGTGTAATGTTTGTATATTGACCCATTGGTGATTGTTGATTATTGTACACTCTTGTAAAATAAAATATATAATGACAAAAAACAAACGGGTATTTAGAAAATATTCAATCATGGCAACATCAGAAGTAGTGGTCTCATCCCCTTTAAAATACTCCCCCTCTCAATCTAGGTGCACCGTGGTATCCGAGGCATTGTGAAGGATCAGCAGGGGAACCCCATTTCGAACGCCACTGTGTCTGTAGAGGGAGTAAACCATGATGTCACGACAGGTATCCTGAAAGACTTCCTCTTCTTGCATCTCTCTGCATACGTTTTAACTGAGGTTCTTTAAACAAAATGGCTCTCTTTGTTATTGTAGCCCAAACAGGGGATTACTGGCGGCTGCTCAACCCGGGGGAGTACCACGTGACGGCTCGAGCTGAGGGATACTCCCCTGTGACTAATCTCTGTGTGGTGGGGTATCAGTCAGGGGCAACCGCCTGCAGCTTCAACCTGGCCAAGTCCAACTGGGACCGCATCAAACAGGTAAGGCACTACCGTCATACAAGTCACGTGCATTGTTTTTACTTTTAAGAACCATAATTCACAGCATAAACAAACATTTTTGAAACTTACTATCAAGGAAAACTGAAATTCAATGGTATGTTCATCAGACTGCAGTAGCTCAGTCTGTAAGGACTTGGCTTGGAGTGTTGACTGGTACTTTGGGAGGTGCCAGTTCACCTCCTAGGTGTTGCCGAGCTGCCTTTGAGCAAGGCACCTGACCCCCACACTTCTCCCCAGGCGCTGTATAATGTGAAATGATTTGAATTGAATACTTTATTCCCGTCTCTAATACAAAAATGACCCAAAAAAATGCTTACATTATCTTAAAGCATCAAGTTAGTGTCTCACTCTCACTAAAGCCAATCTCAAAGTCGTTTTAAATGTTTTCAAGACTGTTAGTCCAAAGCTTATTTTGTACTTGCATGGGTCACAAATGTGTAGCTTTATGTGACTCAAACTAAACAACTTCCACACCAATGACATGTTTGCTTGCGTGGGGCTGTGACTTTACCATCTCTGCTGCTGTGTCTAAAACCAGTACATCTCTACCTAAAATCCTTATTAAGAAAGTGTATTTCTTATTTCTCTGCAGATCATGGCCCTCAATGGCAACAAGCCCATTCGACTCAGCTATGGCAACAACAAAGTGCAGTCACCGGCAGTTGGGAGTGGCAACAGACGTTTTGTAAACGGCAACAATGGGGTTACAGCGAACTCGGGAGTCATCGCCGAGCGGCAGAGGAGGCTCAAGATAGCTCGCATCCGTCGCCTTCGTCAACAGAGATTACTGAAGTTAAGACCAATGACGACGTTACCCCCGACAACAACCACAATTCCCACAACGCCAGAGACAACCACTTTCTGGTACGACTCCTGGACCGTAGGGGAGGGACAGTCCTCCACGCTTGGCGGATTCACAGACTCCATCCTGGACTATAACTATGAATACAAGATCGATGACTATTAATATTAATATTACACACACACTTCAGTAAATATGCATCTTTCCTCTCCTTCAAGTAGTTCTAATTGCCATGTTGTACTTTGAGCAGGATGATAAGGAATCAATGAGGAATCCTGTCTTTGTGACAGACAAGCAATGGGAAGGCACAGAATATTAACTAGTAATTGTATAAAGATAGTGTATCTATAACAGAACGCCTCTTCACAGATATTGTTATAGCATTTTCATTTTCAGTTCACACTGCATTGTTCTAACTTGTTACTCAGTCTTTTTGCTTCATGAAAAGATGTTTATTGTAGATGCACATTAAAAAAAAGTCTTGTTTTTTTTACTTCAGAGTTATTTACACATATTTTTACAGTATGAACAGTCACAAAAGGGTTCAAAGAGCTTACAGCGATTCAGAGGAGGGAAAGGGTCTTTTGTCATGTTGGCTCAGACGCAGCAATAAAGTAGTTATTTTTCAAATAAAGGTTTGTTACTGTAATACGCAATGCCTATTCTGTCTTTTTTTGCGCATTTGTAAACACGTATTTGAGTGTAGCATTCTGGGATATCAGTGCTTTTATATCTTTATTTTAAAACTACAAACGAGTATTATGGCCAATTGAGAAAAAGTGTTCCGAGTTGTGACTTTAAATGTACTCAAAGTCATTATTTAAGATGTGGCCGGGCCCTTATCCCTTCTGGAAAAATAACACAGCTTGACAACAGTAACTTTAACAGCAATTTGTTGGCCATTATGACACTGGACAGCATCAGTGTAGCAAGGACCGTAGTTCACGTCTCAATGTTGCTGTAACTCCGCTGTGGTCATAAGAATTTTGTTTGAGTGTTCATCAATAGCGTCCTAGAAGTGTTGATCTGTATATGGGTATTATGGACACTCAGTGGCTGACGTTCATCTCACTGTCCTCATCCTCGTCCGCGGAGAAGGCAGAGAAGCTGATTGGCTCACATGTCAGAGTACGTAAATTCACCAGGCATGCTGTTTGGGTGCTGTTGAATTCTGGAATAGTAACCAGAAGGCATTCTTGGCCATCAGGACCTGGCAAGAAGAGAAGAAGAAAACATGTATTGGCACATGAGACAGTTCATGTGCACAATATAGCCAAAATAATGTCAATATTTTAATGAGCCAGGACAGAGTCTAAGGACAGACCATAATGTGATAGCTCACCTTTAACGAGCTTAGACTGCAAGGTTGGGGCCATGCCACTGAAGTAAACATGGGGGCACTCTTCCAAGATGAAAGGGTCTTTTTGGTAAAATGGGTAACAACCTGGAAGAAAATGTACAGAAGACATTGTGAGTACTGCCAACAGGTATAACCCAGAAGGTTTGCGTTGGTTTTGCATCAACTTGTGTGACTAACCCAGAGTATCGGGTGCTGTTGGCGCCAGGTGTCTGAGTCGCAGCGTGTCCTCCAGTATTTCCAGGTGATCGTCCATGCTGCTGTATCTCTGAATGTCACAGACATTCTGGCCGGATGTGCCCAGGAACCTTGGAGGAAACACAAATAATGTTAATGTTATAATGTTCTACACCCCTTGCCGAGCACAGGGTTGATGCACTCTCTGTGTTTTGTCTCCTTATTCCTGCCTGTTGGCGTCAGCTGATAGAGGTGTAATAGTGATTTGTTTGTTGTGTCTTGTCGTGCAGAATGTTGATTATTCTCTTATAACTAGCTAAATATATGGAACTGGGGGGGGGGAGATCTTAAGAATTGGTTGGCCACGAGCTGTGTCACTTTGTGGATGCAGCAAATTCTCCGGACGTAACTTCAAATGTATCTTGAGTGTTTGCCATCCAGTTCCAGCTCTCCTGTGTTCTCATTTTGTTCTACTCCTTGCTCCAGAGGTTTCCATTACAATCCTGTCCTCTGCTCGTGACTATATTCTTTTATAATAAGTGCTGAACAGTGGACTTTATTTATGTCGATTTTAAGAGTGGTTCATGTGTGTTTTTAATAGTTAAAGAAATGTGTTGATTTAGGAATGTATGTATGTACGTACGTACGTACGTACGTACGTACGTACGTACGTACGTACGTACTGTATGGTATTGCTCACCTAACTCCATCAATGTGAGATTGGTGTGGATTGGTGACCAGCTGCAGTGTGGGGTACACTGAGGACAGGGGGAACATACAGCGGTGGAGGGCCTGCTGAGGGAGGGTGAAGTTGGTGGGGTCGTACTGGCCCGGCATGACATCCACTGGAACTGAGGCCTATAACAGCAGGAGGCAGTGACAACATAGTTATATCATCACTTTTTTCAGATGAAAACCCTTTTAAGAGATTCAATAAGTAACTGTAACAGATAGGAACTTAACTTGTTATCTAATTACATTACTCCATAACATGTAACAAGCTACTGTAGAGGGGGGGATAGACTCACCACCAGCTGAAGCAGCATCTCATCCAGCAGACGAATGGCCTCCACGCTGCCAGCCTGAGTCTTCTTAGTGAGGTATTTAGGCTTAACACACAGAGGATTAAACATGTTTTTAAATGTTAATTATGAGAGCCAGTTCATGTTTGCTTCTTTAAAACTAATTAAACATATTTTTGAGAATAATTGTGTGTCAAACAGTTACCTTGGTCGCCGCGTCTGCATCCTGGGTGTTTTGGCTCAGCAGGTTTCCAACCAGTAATACTCTGGAAATTGTCGCTGCACCGCTCTGCTCCCCCTGGTCACCCAGCTGACCAGTTACCATGTCAACCAGCAGCTGCAGCCCCAGCATGCTGTCAGCGTGAGTACTGCCGAGCCCGAGTCCTGAGACCAGGAGCACAAACCTGGATGAGGACAGAAGCTGCATTAGAACGTATTATCACTAAAGGCAGGGATTTATGGTGTGTATATGCATTTGTGTGTTTACCTGTCGGAGCTCAGTGTAGGTCTTGGTGATTGTGGAGGAAAATCAGCCATGCAAAAGTCCTCAACAGTGAACTTCCCATCATTATTTTCGGCTCCATATATTGCAATAACACTACCTGTAAGAGAAACAGAAGAGAAGCCATTACATAGAGGACAGCTGTACACAGCTGAGCGATGAAACCCTGTAATCCTATATTCTAAATTCATTACAAGCAACTGCGTCCCGAATCCAATTTCTTTAGCTTTCATGTGACACAGATCTGTATGAGTGTGGACTGTGGACACATAGATCCTATTTTCCTCTTACCTGTGACCCACTTTTCTCTGTAAATGTTGCCCTCCAGTTTGATCCTCTGTAGCTCATCCTCCAGAATCAGCTCATCCGTCTCACTGATGAATTTGACTCTTGCAGGCTGAGGCAACAGGTTGTGCTGAAGGGAAGAGGAAAACAATGATACATGACACCTGCCAGAACATTCGTTCATTTTGTCAGGGATTTAGGGGGTCAAGCTGGTGAATGTTCCTTGACTGCTGACCTCCTCACTGATCTCTTTCAGAATGGATGGCTGCAAATCCATACGCTTGAACAAAGTCCCCACAATGCAACACTGCTCCCCTGTCTGAAGATCACACAGTTTCCTAATAAGCACATCTGATCCTGGCAGCAACAAAAAGACACACATAGATAAGAAAAATTAATTCAGATGCTTGAGTCCAAAATGTAGTTCAAATATGTGCCAAGCTCACCCCACTTCTGCTTGGCTCTCTCTGACAACAAGGGTCTCATCTGCATGAGTCGTGCTGCGTAGATATGAGCATACTGGCGACTGAAGCTCCTCTCCCCGACCGTGTATCGCTCGGAGCATGGACTGTAGGCCAGAGACATCCTGTCAAACACCGGGCCCTGGTCCTCGGAGGGCCGGCAGAGCAGAGAGGAGCCGTCCTTTTGGGCGCTCAGGTCGGAAAACATGACTGTTCTGAAGCAGAGGCGAAGGAGAGGTTAGTAGAATACTGTCTGCTGTGTTGCATCCAAACTTCGTGAATACCGTGCACGGGTGGTATCCGTGTTGAATCAGGTTGTATGTTATGTAGTCAGATATCAGTCATTTCATCCCGAGCAAAGGAAACAATTCCCGCGAAATCACCCGCTCAACATTGCTCTTTTTCAAGATGACCGCAAAGTCTCGCGAGAAAACATGGGATGTGTGATAACAAGTCTACAAACATAGAAAACTAAAGTAACGGAACGTTAACTTGAGCATAAATGAACTGCATCAAGTTTAAGAAGCAGTCTAACATATAATCAGCATACTATTTCATAAGGGGGCATTTTATAAAGATAGAGAGTAGTACATTTAGTTTTTTTTACAACGTCGCACCCAATATACGTCACACATTTAAAAACAAGGGTCGCGCTGTGTTGAGCTCACAAAAGCAGCCGTCTCCTCGCCATTTTTTCACAGCTCTTTGTGCGCCACTCTGCTTTAAGAGTTTGCGTGTTTTTTGACGAGCGATTCGTCGACTCGGGTTTTAATTCTTTAATAGAGAAAATGCAAGGAAACAGAGGCACCCCCCAGCACAACCACGGGTCTAACCGCCCGGTGGAGCAGAAGAACACCAACGGCCAGCAGCCCGAGGATTCTAGCAACGAGGCCTTAACCCTGGACCTGCAGAACTTCAGGAAACCCGGGGAGAAAACCTTCACCCAGCGGAGCAGGCTGTTCGTAGGAAACCTGCCCACCGGGACATCTGAAGAGGAGCTGGAGAAGCTATTCGCCAAGTACGGCAGGGCCAATGAAATCTTTATCAACAAGGAGAGAGGCTTCGGCTTCATCCGGCTGGAGACCAGGATCATAGCAGAGATAGCCAGAGCAGAGCTGGATGATACCCCGTTCAAAGGCAGGCCTGTCAGGGTGAGATTTGCCACACACGGTGCAGCCTTAACTGTGAAAAATCTTCCAGATTTTGTGTCCAACGAGCTGCTGGAAGAGGCCTTTGCTGGCTTTGGGCAGATAGAGAGAGCTGTAGTCATAGTGGATGATCGTGGGAGGCCCACAGGGAAGGGAATAGTGGAGTTCACCTCAAAGCCAGCTGCAAGAAAGGCTTTGGATAAGTGCAGTGATGGTGCCTATCTTCTCACAGCCTTTCCTCGACCCATTACAGTGGAACCCATGGATCAGCTGGATGAAGAGGAAGGACTGTCAGAAAAAATCATTAACAAAAACCAGCAGTATCACAAAGAGCGTGAGCAGCCACCAAGATTTGCACAGCCGGGCTCCTTCGAGTTTGAGTATGCCATGCGCTGGAAGGCCCTGATGGAGATGGAGAAGCAGCAGTACGAGATGGTGGACCGCAACATGAAGGAGGCTCAGGAGAAGCTGGAGGTCGAGATGGACGCGGCCAGACATGAGCACCAGGTGATGTTGATGAGGCAGGACCTGCTGAGGCGTCAGGAGGAGCTGCGGAGGATGGAGGAGCTCCACAATCAGGAGGTGCTGAAGAGGAAACAGTCTGAGATCCGGCAGGAGGAGGAACACCGGAGGAGAGAGGAGGAGATGAGGATGCGCAGTGAGGAGATGCTGAAGAGGCAGCAGGAGGGCGGCTTCAGA